CCGACGATGCTCTTGCTCTCTTTCTCTGTCTGTCTCCTCCCTTCCGTACACTCGCTTCCTTCTTCTTCCTCCTCTGTCTCTCTTCTACTCCTCCTCTTGTTTGTTTGTTGTCTTGCTCTTTCGTGCAGATGTTTCTTCTGTTGTGAGCAAGGTGCATCTCTTTCTTTTTCTTTTCTTTCCGTTACACATGCCTACTCTATCAATTCTCTCTTACCTACGGTGCCCCCTTTGATCTTTCTAACCGTTCTGACAAAACACCAGGTTGTACAACACAACCTTCCACATGGGTAGTCTGTCTGTGTGTGTATTTATTATTCCTTAATAGACTTAAAAATACTCGAAATAAGTCCATTACCCAGCCGGTTTTCCTCCACTCACTGAAAAGATTCCACCAAATCCCGCTCGACTGTGGGTATATCTCGAATGGGTAGTCTTTCTGTGTGTGTATTTATTTTTCCTCAAATAAAGAATACCACATTTTATGAACCAGAAGACCAGTATCCAGCATCCAGCAGTAGTCCAGCATGTTTCCTTCAACATTCAATGCTATAAGAGTTCAACTTCAATCGAGGGGTATTTTCTCCAACGGATACTTGGGTCATCATTCTGTACTTTCGTTATTTGTCTGCAGAGGACTAATAATTTGTATTTTCGAAGAATCCGCCTGATTTCTTGCCAAGGGCCGCAACTAGTTTCTAGTCGGATCCAAGAAAATAGGAGACCATGTATCCCACTACGAAGTTTAAGTTTCGGCTTGCAGAGTTCCAACTTCACATCGGTACACATCGTGGAGCACCCACATGCGGGTTGGCACGCACCCTCAACTAGATGATAGATAGATCTGTTTAGGGCTCTGCTGTGTGGAAAGTTGCAGCTAGCGGCGTACCGAAACGTTCGCACATGTAAAACCAGTAGAGCGGGTCCATAGAGAAAAGGATCACGGCATTGCAGTTTACGTTGCTGTTGAGCGATAAGGAAACGAAAATCGCGTTTTGCACTTCCAGCTGTTTCCGTTGCTGTTCTTCACATTAATTAACAAACGTTTAGATGTCTGCCCAGTACCTTCGAACATCCATACCGGTCCAACTGACGCCGCGGGCGCCTTCGGTTTTTGCAGAGTAACTCGCGCCAAAGACGGTACACAACAGTATGAAAACACCAAGAGAGATATATCGAACCTACTAGAATATAATGATAACACAACGCGCCGTACAAAAAAGCAGTACGGGCGCGCAACTGAGAAAATTCCGTTAAGAAATTAGTCTAAGGCTGACTGGATTCCTTTCCCAAAAAACACTCACTTTTCAGGATGGGCAAAAATCCGGCTGGAAAAAAGTCCGACCGTTCTTGTACAGTGAGCCGGATTCCTGAGGCGGATTCTTGGGGGGTGGGTGTAAATCAACCCAGACGACATATCACCGAGTGCGACCTGAGTTCTTGACGTATCGCTCCCATCAAGGGCTCCTGGCAACCCTACGCCGAAGGGCTTGCTATTCTGCACGCTGGCTGTTGATGGTCGCTCGGCACGCGTGCTTAAAAAAAAAACATATCGCATCGCACCAAGCATGGGAGACGCCGAAACAGGCCAAACCGGCACGAGACACCAAAAAGAGCCGCTTTTTGTCAGAGAGGGGAGGACACCGGAACTGATTTCTCGCTCCCTAGGCACCGATCGAAGCCAGATCGGTCAGGACGTGCTCTCTGTTCCTTGCTCTCTGCCTGAGTAGATTTGCTCAGCAGGGCGTACTCTTGATCGACGAAGAGAAGCATGCGCGTGTTGCCCGTTGCTTTTTCGAACTGTGATGTTTTGGTGGTCTGCTTCACTTGAGAATAAACTGATGTGTTGAAGGCCTGGAAACAATTTTCAACAGAAGGCTTGAGTACACGCAGACGACGATTTCGAATGATTGGATCAACGAGCTGCTGAGCAAATCTACTCCGGCAGAGAGCAAGAAACAGAGAGCACGCCGTGACCGGTCTGGCTTCGATCAAGTGACCTAGGGAGCGAGAAATCAGTTGCGGTGTCCTCCCCTCTCTGACAAAAAGCGGCTCTTTTTGGTGTCTCGTGCCGGTTTGGCCTGTTTCGGCGTCTCCCATGCTTGGTGCGATGCGATATGTTTTTTTTTTAAGCACGCGTGCCGAGCGACCATCAACAGCCAGCGTGCAGAATGCAAGCCCTTCGGCGTAGGGTTGCCGGGAGCCCTTGATGGGAGCGATACGTCAAGAACTCAGGTCGCACTCGATGATTATGTCGTCTGGGTTCACCCAGCGGTGAACTTTTTGGGATGAGAAATCTGGGTGGGCACCATCCTGATTTCTTCCAACTTTTCGGGTGGAGGCTACCCAAAAAGCTGGATTTTCTCGACCCAAAAAACTGAAGAACCTGGCTGTATAAGAAGCCGGATTTCTGCCCATCCTGAAAAGTGAAGCTTTTTGGGAAAGAAATCCAGGTGTATAAGAATCAGCCTATTAAGAAAAAAAAAAAAAAGAATCAGCCTAAGGCTCAACGTTTTACGAAAAATAGGGGAAAATGACTAAGAAATACAGCTCATTCTCGACCACAACATAAGAAACGTCCCAATAAGAAGCATGATCGTGCGATACCCCCAATACATAAGAAGCAAGGGTTGCTGGGGAGCGTGTCCATTATGAAACGTCCTACTACTGTTGCTCCTTCCGTGCTCCCACCCCACCTGTACCTAGCTGAACAGTGTCTTTTTCGCTGCTGGAGAGTGATTATTGCCGCGCCCCCCTCGCCTCCCTCCGCGCTAGCGCGCTGGCTACTCCGCGCCTCCGCGGGCTGCTTTATCCACTGCTGCTGTACTGCAATGTTTGCCACACCGAACGTTCTGGTTGAAGTTGCGTGAATGTTTGGTGTGTTGTTGTATTCTTAGCCAGAAATAAGAAAATAAGAAATAAGAGACTCAGGAGGATGCGACAGTCCAAAGGAAAAAGATACGTCTTCTTTCAATCCCACACGCCTGTTTTGAGCGCAGTCCCCACATAGAGGGAGAGCTGGAGCTGGAAGCGGTCGAGGAGCTGCAGCTGGGGCTACCCCCAGAGAACTGGTCGCTCAATGATGTCAAGAGGTCTTTGCTGCTCGTGAGCGACGAGAGCTGGTTTCGAGAGGGACAAGCGATGGTGGACCTCAGATTGTTCGGCCCAACTCGCGAGAGTACTTTCAGGAGGGTGTTCTTCGACGTGCCCGGAGCTGTTGATGGCTGTCTCAAGGTACCTACGGCGTGGTTGTACCTAGATTTTCGTTCCCATTTCTTTGCCACTTCGGGTGTTCGTCTGTTCTGGATAGATGGGCAGAGCACTTGATCGCCGTGGTGACTAAGTAGTGAAAGTCGACGGGAGGGGTGTGTCCAAATCCCGAGTACTGCTGTACTTCAGAGGTGCCCTCTTCGCCTTGCTACTACCTACTACCGATTGCGCTACACCCAAACATGCCCTTTTCCCCCCACCTATCGAACTATCGGTCTTGAACATAAGGACCGAGCCGGGGTAGCCTTGATCCCGCCAACGTTTAGAATGTACACGGCGGGCGACATTTTCGATGCTTTCGGGGACGATGCCGTGGTGAGGTCTCGAGACATTGCCAGTGGAGAAACTTTGAGGGGAACAGCGCTCGAAGAGGTCGAGGGCAGCAGCAGCGACGACTCTAGCAGCACCGCTAGCGACATCTCCGGGAGTGCAGCGACCGGCCCGCGGCGGGAGATATCTATTGCAGAAATCCAGGTTACCTGGGTGGATGGATACACGCATGTGCTGGGCTGGCTGGACTCTAATGTGGTGTCCTGAATCGGCAAGCAAGCGTCATGAGTGGCAAAGGGGTAGTTATTTTCTGTGAATCGTATGTATGCTCTCTTTTAAGGGACCGGCATTCGTTCTTCGTTGCTTTGCGTAAATTGTCGAACTGGGTACGTGGATATGACCAAAAACTTCGTTCCAGATATTATCTGGTTACTCGGTCGATGTGCTTCGGTCTGTCTGTGTTTGCCCTGCATATTTCCGCTGAAACTACTTCAGTGGTATAGATTTCGCCAGCCGTGCCCCCTCACGAGGACTCGAGACATTGATCCAGGCTTTCTGTATGGTTCTTGAGGTAGATTCTTGTTTTTTCTCTGAACGGTGTCATTTAACCCCTTTATATGTGCCGACGTCTCGTTGAGTACCCGCCCACAAGGTCTCCCAACCTGTGGTGAATTTCTACTGGTAAACTCCTGCACTTCGAGGAGAGTTTTGGTCGCCTACCCATGTATGAGTCCTTGGAAAATGATTTCGGCGAAGTCCGTAGCGGTGCTTCGCTTACAAAAATGGCAGCAGGGACGCAAAGGCGCAAAGATTTGCTAGTAGTATTCTTCTTTGATTCACTTATGACCCGGGTGCTCTAATGTGAAATGTTTGGGCACGGGTTGATCGAAACTGATCAAGAAATAAACTGCTGCTGGTGGAGCGCAGAGAGAACGCTCAAAGACCATCGTGCGGTGATACATCTCTGGGTAAAGTCATCGACACACTTTGGTGTCATCTCGAGCCTGTTTACGCCTCGAAAAGTAACACGATTGATTTCCTGTGGTTGCACGTGAACGCCCCGCCAAGTACATGTCGGTGGTACGACGTGACGTGGTCGCACAGAGGGAAGTTACATCTTTCTGAACTTGGACGAACACTGCTCGAAGTTGCTTCTACTCCACGTTCACGAAGGCAGTCGGGATAGCCCTCCAGGCTTGGTAATCCCGGACAGATAGCCGATTGCGCACGTGCAAGACATGTCGTCCGCGTGATGAGGATGAACCTTCGCATCAGAAACGGAACTGCGATTGGAACAAGTTGTTGACGAGGCCCCGTATGTTGTCAAAACGCATGACCACCATCCGTGTTTGCATCGTCCATAACCATCTGGGATATTGAGGTGTACATCCCTGCACGTGGTAGTAGAAACTGACGCCCGCCGACGCTTTTAAGTCGAATGTGGTAGCTGAGAGAGCTTGTTGCCGCAGACGCGGTCTTCAGCTGTACCTCAAGAAGGGGATTGCGTGATGTTGAAAACACGACACTTGCGGCCAAATAAGATTCAGACAAGGTTCTCAAACGTTACACAGGACAGTAGTCCAAGTAGGACGATGGTGATAGTGGCAAGGGTAGTAGAGATATCCAGGCCAATCCTCGTATTCACAGAGAAACCATCAAGAGTGAGGTCGATCACAGAACGACGAGACGAACAATCAATGTAGCAGTCGTTCCTCCGCACACGTTACATACCAACCGAATATATCACGCCGGCTCCGATCCATACGCAGCCTGAACACTGATTCTGAAAGCGAGGATAACGCCTGAACATCTCCATAACAAAACAAACCCTCGCCCTTTCTCAGCTACTCGACGGTTGCCCTGTTCCGTCCTTCTCTTCTTCGTGTGTGTCTGCCTGGAACTTGCGAATTGCTTTGTCGAACATGTAGCGGAATACGACCTGAGATCGGCACATGGTACACACGGCCCAGTGTAAATAATTTCGGGGACAGGAAGCAGGTGGAGGAAAGAGGGCATCGAGGGTACCGTGTGACACTAGAACCGTACCAATACCTTAGGAGCACCGCCTAGGCCTTGCTAGTTTTGGACTCGAACTCTGACAACTAGATCGCGTCGCTGACTTTGATTTTGGTCGGTCAGTCTGTGTCCGTCGGCATGCTGCTCTCTCTCCCTCTCTCTCTCTGTCTCCCTCTGTCTCCCTCTGTCTCTCTCTCTCTACTGATACCCTTGGTGGCAGGTGTATTGGGCCCTTCAGCAGGTTCATCGAGCCCGTAAGCACTAAAAACTGCAAATGTTAAAAGAGCAATATCTTGCAGATCAATATTTCCGAATTATCTCATCTGCAGCACTTTTGATCTCCTTTTGTCACTGCAAAAGCGTCCAAAACACACGTCACGTGATTCTCTCTAGGGCACAGAAGTGACTTACCAGCCGAATGAGACGCCTATCCGCCCGAAAGCTCTGCCCAGGAGTAAGGCCCGATGCGCATCGAAGGAGTCCGATACACGCAGACACAGAGGCATCGCGAGCAGACATGTTGGTGTCGCGAGAGCTGTTAAATTTTCAACGCATGTTTAGCAACAAACTACGACGGAATATCCACGTCACTCACGCGTAGATCATGCAACGTCAGGTTTTTATCTGCGCAGGCAGAGTGTGGAATGCCCCTTTCCCTGGTACCATATTCGTTAGCACGTGGCGTCGTAAAATGCCGCCTCTACGCATACCATCTCACGCGTACGCACTCCTCGCACACCTGCCCTTCCGTTTCGGCCGAACCGATCTCTGCGAAGTCGACGCGTTCGTTGGCAGAGTCCGCGGCTGATGATGTCAAAACTTCCTTTTTCGATGAAGTGGCGGTTCCGTGGTCTCGAGGCTTAGACGGCAGCAGCCTCGGCCCCCCGACTTGCCGACACATGTCGAAAAAGTGATCGGCTTGGGTGTCCTTCACGAAGGCGCCCCCGAGGTAGGCGCCTCGGTGTACCTGAACATAAAACAACGCGAACTCCGTTGGAAAGGCCTCGAATATGCACCACGAGTACAACCGCCTCACTCTTATTGCCTGTCTGCATATGCTTCCAATCAACGGCCGTCTCCGTGAAGATGGGGACTGCAGACTTGTTTTTGTCAATTCCAACTGCCGCTGAGAATGGTTGCAACAAGGCTCACTTTGAGTCCTTCCTCAAAGCTAAGCTCGGCAGCGGTCCGACCGTCGCCTTTGATGCCTGTTTTGTCGAAGTTTCGTAGCTGGTCGTTTACGGCACTCATCACCTAGTGTAGGAATAAAGGCGGGGGCAGGGACCACAACCGTCGTGCCATGAGCACTCCAACGTACGTATATCACGTCCACGACATTTTCGATGCCAAGCCGGGCGTTGCTTTCTCTACTCTTAAAAGCGTCTTTGAGCACGGACCATAGGTGAGTCTCAAGTAGCGATTGCATGATGGACTGCCGCCACGAAGGCATCAGAAAGCACTATGCGTCGATGGAAACAATTGTGCTCGTTGTGGTCAACATCAATCAATGCCTTCTCGTGGATGTGGTACTGAACCCACACCGGAGACTTACCACAAAGTATGCTCCCCGAAGGTCATATGTCCCTTGAAATATGACTGGCACCTCATCAACCGGCATGCTCAAAGTTCGTCGTGCCTCCTCGGCCGGCAACCGCGTCCACCACTCCGAAAATTTCTGGGCATGCTTTCCCCAGAACTGCAGGAGCATGAAACAAGTTTCGCCACGTACGTTTAAATTCATGGACACTTCTCCCCGCTTCAAGCTAGGCATTACAGCCAGCTCAGTACTTGGTTCTGATAATCATGAAGTGGACGGTTGGACGGCGGAGACGAACGAATCCTATCTTGGTTCCGGCATGCTGTGTAACATTGTAGGATATCAGGGTTCTTCGTTAGTAAGAATGGGATAGATGGCACTTACACGGAGCGGTATTGTTCACAGCGCAGGATTGATATGGGACTGCCCTTACGCCGTAAAATTTCGGGACCTTTCTTCTCTTCTCTCGTCCAGCAGATGGGGTAGAAACTCATCACATCCCTACAATGCCATAGCTTCGACTACCACTTAGTTCGCAACGTATGCTTTCTTGACATTTCTTGCTCTTGCATAGAGCGCAGCCCTGTCTTCGTTGGGACATGCTCGGGGATATCGTCTAATGGTCCCGGTTCTCCCACATGGAGAGACAACAGATATTGCGAGAAGATATCCAAGCAGAAGACCCACGGCCGGAGAGCTCATACATACCACCAAAGTGTGGAAAATTCTCCACAAGATCTCGACCTCGCAGCCGAGATGCTCCGCAATTGCGCACCTATTCGATATGAACCAAGGGCAACGCCGACCTTAACATATCCCACAGGACTTGGCTCTTTTTCTGGGCGGCCGTATCCATTCAGCGATTGGTCGTGCATGTGAAGAAGGAGAATTGTTTGCTTCTTGCACCCCAGAAAAACGAGACCTCCTAACCCAACCATCTACATATGTGCAAAATGATAGCAATATTACTCAACAAAATGCGGGAACGCCAGACGAGAACTTTAAACAAGAGGAGAGTGCTACCTCGTGCACAGGGATCATGCCCGCGAGTACCTCGTGGTAGCGTGGCATCTCTCCTTTCATGGCGGCCCTGAGTTTGACACGAGCGGTCCACACCTCATCACTCATAGCTGGAGGCCAAGGTGACTTGCGTTCCTTCCTCCCATCGTCGGTCTCTGGTGCAAAAATAAATTAATATCCCTTCAATTACAGTAGTACTTGTACAGATGGCGCTCGCACCTAAGAACTTAGCAGTTTAAGAAATACAGCCTCGAAAAATTCAAAATATAAGAACTTGGCCATAAGAACACGTGCTCAGACCCGACGTTGTAATAAGAACAAGAACGCGCATTTGTGGTGTAACAAAGCGCTTACAGATAAGAACAGAATACCAAAACGCGGCAGCTACAAGATAAGAACTCATGAAGGTGGTGAGGGGTGACTCACGGGGTGTCCGGTGACCCCACCCGCCGGCAGTTAGTTTCAGACCAGGGACGAGGAGGGCGATCGCCGTTTCAAATAATACGGGGGGGTGGGGGGGGGGGGGCGTACTTTATGTTTTGCATGCCTTGGTGGTTACACCATTGCCCACGCGTCCTCGAGAGGACGGAGCATTGTTCCCACAGGACCAAAGACCGATGACCAATCGTTTCTCCCTACTTTGCCAAAAAAGGCGTATCAAAATATTTTCCCTATCCTATCTATCCTATCGATATCGATATCACTTCCCATCTCTTCAACTCACGTTCTATGCCCCAGTACAGCTACCGTCTTCTCTCCTATAGTAGCTATTCCATGCCTCAAACATCTCCCTATATCTTCCTTTCACTTTTCTTAGCTCAGTCATGTACAATTTTCTCTTCCTTCTTGTACAAATGATAGTCCGCAACTACATGAACCCGGTCTTCGCACTCGGAACCGCGTTCACATTTCACCTTGGTCGGTGCGGAGGGGGGGCGGTGGGGTGGTAGGTGCTTACAGTAGTTTTGTTGTACACGGATACCCCTGTCGCGTGATATTGAGGTGCCTGCCACGCTGCGTGCCATGCACGAGAGCCTCGTCTTTACCCCTTGAAACATTGAAGGAGCTCGGCCAACTGTGAAAGCTGAAGAGGTGTCATCTTGATCGACACATACTTCGAAGCCATCAAAGAACATGCCATTGCTGGCAAATGCCCACGAGGTCAGATTGGGAGGCCATCGAGTCGACGCGGGGGTGACGAATGCTTACCGACACCTCTTCCTTTGCCGCACCCACCAGTTTTCAAACTCAAGCGTCTAAAGTCGCTGCTCTTGACAATTCATTGCTGCAGCGTAGAGCACTCGTGAAACTGAGCATGGGCTGGTTAGACGAGCTGATCACTCGGCAGTCTGAGGAGCCTACCCACCACCTTCACGACTACCGTGTGCATTTATTTCGAGCTAGACCAAAGTACGCGCCGCATGAAATTGCCGTTGGACAAGTACAGTGGAGATGCGGGTGCGATGGGGTTGCGGGCTTTGCTTGAGGGGAGCACGCTAGAGGAGGTTCGGCATTCGAAGAGCGGGCAGGACAATCACGCCGAATGTGACCCTTGTGGACCTCTAAATGTTTCAATGTGTTTGCTCAGATGCGTGCCGCGTCTGTATTTCTACCCTATCGTGATCGCGGAAGCTGCAGTACGTCGGTTCCAGAGGTCTCTGTTGAGCGACTTTCTAGTATTTACTCTGTTTTACGAACACGCTGCTCTCAAGTGTCAGGTTGAATCCACCCAGAAAAAAATAAACGGTGTTCTCTGAATGGGGCCCTCGGCGTAGAAATAAGAACAAGAACGTAACCCCGTTTATCATACGGATATTCCTGCTCGAAGTAAGAACTTTGAAAATAAGAACAGGTGGTCAATTCGAGGCATCCAATAAGCATCGAGCCTTAGCCAAAGTAAGCGGTTCTTAGGTGCGCCATCTGTAGAGTGAGTGGGTGAGCACGCAGCGCACATTTGAATATTGGCTTGTCAAGGCCATGCTTATTGTAGTGGCTGCACAGCAGAGGGTGTTCATCGGTGGAAAAGCATCCAATGGCTGCGCGTACGCACACTTACTTGTAGCTACAAACAGGTACCGGCTAGCTTTGAGCGCAACCCACATCTCCACCCTTACCAATCCCTCACCAATATCGGAGCAGTCGTGCATGAACGCTGCCAGGTTGTGGTGAGACAATCCACAGCAAGAGCACGCCCCCTGGACGATGGGAAAGGGTAAGGAGTCTTCAGCGCACTATGTCTACTTCTGCATGATTACATGTATGCATACAAGCAACGTCAGTTTGCAGATCCGGGCAACCCTGGCTGAAGCGCCTCCCAAGCTTGTTGCTTACCCCGCTGAGATGCTCGAACAACGTCCTGTCGACGACCCACGCGTCTGTAAACCGCCCGTCCATAAAGAAGCTACTCATTGTCGCACTGCTGTTGTGAAGGGCCTTCTGTGCCTTCGACGCTGACGATAATTAGTAGGGGGGGATATTCTTTAGGGGAAACAACCACCGCACATGATCCTTGTCGCAGAATACCCATGTTTTTTCGTTTTATCGTCTTCGCTGTAAGCAGTAGTCTTGCTGGTGCGGCGGGATTACTGTGTAGCAGCGTTCGTTCCCGAAACGTCACAACGATTGCGCCGCATTTTCGCATCAATTACACAGTTACACAGCAACATAGCAACCCCATGCATCTAACTGTGGGGGCACCGAGCTGAGTGAGACTCCTACAGAATAACCCAGTACGCCTTTTTCTTTGTGATTCTTGGGGTCAATCGGTTCTTCTCCCCCATTACGAAAGCGACCAAATTGGGTGCGAGCCGTGCGCCGAGTCCCAGGTTTGAAACGACACAAACAAACGCGGCCCGATCGAGAGAAACTCGAATTACGACCATTTGATTTGAGAGAAGAAACGATCCCTCCTCCGGTTCATGCGTAAAATTGCAACAGCAAGAGCCCAAGACGGCAACGGTTGAACCTGGCACGCATTGCTGCTGCGTTGAACTACAACACGACACAGTCTCAACGGAAGGGGGTTTGAACAACATGCACAACGCCATGACGTCTCGTCCACGGGAGCGCGTAGGTGGAGGCCAAACAACGCAAGCCATCTTTACCAAACCGGTCTCGACACGCGCAGGCACGCCAATGTCGACTCGGTCTCAAACACACTGGCCTCAAGCTCGGGCCCAAACGGCGAATCTCCCACAACCCGACCGAACAAGAAGCGAAAGGGGTACTCTTCGGGCAACAACAGCAAGATCTCGAGCTAGGGATGCCAGCTCTCGACGACGAGGTGGGGGAAACATACAAGTGTGAAGAGCATAATTTAGTTTTTCCGAATGATGTGCCTGGTACGTATGCATGTAAACCTTGTTCGCCTCCGGTCCTTGTCTTCCCTCAGCAGGCGATGCACGCTCCGGGATATTTCTTCCTCAAGTTAAATTCGAAGCAGATGAGAACAGCAAGTTCTACACCGCTTCACCGGTGTGCACCCTGAGTAGAATTTTCTCAGACTCCAGTCTCATCCAACCTTCTTGGCCCAAAGTGGCAACATCACCTTGGGGGGAGGCTGCTAGAGTGACTGGGGGATACGGCGAAAGACTGTTGAACGGAGCAAACTCGGTCGAGTCTCCCGACTTCATGCTTAGCAAGGTTGGTGGACTCCTCGTGAAGATGGCGTGATCTGCTGCTAGTTCGTTTTGACCACCTGGATGATACACCGTATTCTTCGTGAGACCATGGACGAGCGTACTTACTTGTGCTACTGCAATGGACTGATAGTGAGAGTATGTACAACCCATATAGTTCTAATTGGAACCAGCGCAAACCAGCGTTCCTAACCTCTCCTCGTCGGCCCGGCGGTCAGTGGTCGGAAAATTGTTTCATGACCTAGACTATACCAATATAGATCATAATAAGCTCAAGTCTCGGCGTTGTGTGGCTGGTGCTCTCAGGTCTACTCTCTGGGGAAAATTGACTTTAAGGTTAGAAGAAATATAGCTTCGCGTTGCACCGCCCAGAGTGAAGTTCATCGCCGCCGCTTCCCCCATCTAATTGCTTCCTGTGCCATTCTACGATCACAGAGGTTTGGAGGGCATGTGGCGAACTACAGCTTTAGAAGGAGACCACGCCCGTTCGCGTATAATGGTGAAGCCAACACGGCTATTTCGTACGACACCCCCAAGTTCTTCCGTGCCCGCCATACACAGGCGAGTGAGCAGTGTGCTGTTGTGTATTAACACATTCTTTTGGTCGTACTGCTGTTTTGTGCATTGCGAAGTGGGCATTGCTACATGCCCCATACCCGTCTGATCGATCTTTCGAAATAAACCCTCCCGATGCATTCATGGTACAAGTCACATACAAGCCGTTGCTGCATACAGCACGCTGTGTCAGCCGATAGGCAGAATAAAATTCACGTGTTGTAGAACCTTCATCACCTGTCCTCAGCAACATTCAGTGTTTGGAGCTACAGGTGATTTGACAGCAATTCATGCTATAATACAACGTTATTAGATGTCATCGGGTTCTCCGCGAAGACATCGATTGGTCAAGAGAAAGATGACCAACGAAAAAATATCCACCGTTTAAGCCTTCAACCAGGTGCCCCATCTTCAATATGGGGTGTTTTCACTAGAGTGCCTACGCGCTGGATTGCTGTAGGTATAGGTGAAGAGACCGTACAAGCTTTCCCCTGCCTTCCCGCCTACAAAAACTGGCTTTAAATCCTCTAAAACTTCTCCGCAGGTGTACGGGCGACCCATCGAAAAGATCGACAAGCCTCGTCTACTCAAGATGCACCTGGGGAAACAGGTATACTCTACACATTCGAAATGCAAGAACATGCGCATTCAAGACCATGCCAGTTTTTTTCCCACTTGCACCCTCCGGACATACGTAAGACTTTGTCTCCCGCTCACTGTCATCGGTGTTATCTGCGCCGGGCACGGACTACTGCTGTGGCGGCAGATTATTACCGGATGGGACCGTAAAACGAAGGTTCACTGCTCATCGTCGTCTGTCGAGGAGGACATGAATCGCCTTCCCTCCCTTTCTCGAACAACGCCCGCAGATCATCGCGGAACCTGAGGTACCAGAGACAGACCTTGCAGGCGGGCCTCTGGATTGGGGTGGCATGGCAGTAACTGGCTCAGGCGTATCGGTCCCCCACGATCCTCGACTCCGCTGAGGACATAGACAGATAGTTAGTTTTGGTGGCTTTGTTCCCTTGTGCGCGCGGTGCGATGCAGGAAAAGCATTCAACCGCACTGTAATCAAGCAGCTCCAACAGGTGGCCCAGGTGCACATTATATGCACCAGTGTACGATGCCGAAAAAAAGACTCTATTTTCAGTTAATACAACGTCCCAGGTTGCTGACCCCGGTGGCATAACCTGGTCAGGTTGCTTACCCCGGTGGCATAACCTGGCCGTGTCCGGTAAGCACACACAGCATAACCTCGTGGGTTAGAAAAAGCCTTGGCTCACAACGTCACCAGATTGTGCCCTCTGATCATGCAACATTGTTCTGCCCCTTGGGACAAACGTTCGCAGCCGGATAACAAGTACCAGGTTTGTGTTCTTTTGTATTAATTCGTCGGTCGTTAATGCGTTAGCGCGTAGTTGCACATATGCAGGTTCCCGTACGTCAACACCGTGGTGAGCGCATGACACCCCGGCAAAAAACAAACTATACAAAAGCCTATTCCGCAGACACGAATAAACGACGCCTCAAACCAAGGTCCCAGCAACCACAATCGTGGCCCGTGCTTCGTTGAGGGCACGCACGACGCAAAATAGATTGTACGTGTACCGCGAGATAATTACGGCGGAACGAGGGAGGACAAGATGGCCGCGGCTTCCCGAACAAAGAACCGTGATGACGTACAAAAAATAATAATATGCATACCCACAGCCATGAGCGGCTCCACACAAGTTTTTCGACCGGCTCACCACTTCTCGACCTCCCGCACAAACAAGCAATTGCACCAAGGAAGCCAAGAGAAGAACAAAAGTTTATTATACTAAAGTCGGTACGAGTGAGGAAACACGCCCCGGTAGAAACTTCTCCGCATATACTATACGGTCCGGAGATTGACCAACTACCCAAGAAAAAACAAAGAAACACAGCAGTTTGCCTTGACAAAACGACAGCGAATCGAAAAAAACGGCGGTCGCTAACGCGGGCTTAAAGTCACCGCCCGAGGTTGAAGCTTTCAACAACCGTTAACACCCTTAAAGCTGCAGCCCCCCCCCCCCCCCAGCCGCCCTCCCTGGGCCACTTTTCCCCAACTCACCCAGGCTCCACACAATACCCGACCAACCTGTACCACCCGAACAATTGGACTTTCCGCAACGCAAACAAGCAACGGCGCAGGCCATCGTCAACAACACCAATTCCGTCCGCACATACGATATAGTCTGGATATTGACCGAAAACACAAAAAGCACAGGGCGTTGACATGCTCCCCTTCCCCACCCGTCGAAAAAAAATGCCGCGACGGTAGCGCCAGACCGATGCCAGAGAACCGAAGAAACACACGCCGGTCGTCTCGCCGGCCTTTTGAAGAAGATGTTCGCCACGCCGTTGTCGCGCGGACATTAACTCTTCCCTCACGTGACTGAAAAACATACAGGCAGTTCAAAACAAGCAAACCGGGGACGGTGTCATCGATCGGCCCGTTTGGTTTTGAGTAGAAACGACAGGGTTTTACAGACGGTCGGCCAATCACCGTGAACATAAGTTTCGATTAAGGACTTGGCCTTGGGCTACCAAAGAACTCGGGAAGTTCAAACATACTCCAATGTGTTACATATGTAGCATACTAAAGGGTACAGTACTGTCAATAACTGGTGTCGTCAGCCTCCCAAAAGCTCCAAAGGATTATTCTTGTCTCGCGAAATTGAAGAGTTGGAATACACTGAACTAAAGGTTGCGAAGCAGGTAATCGCCAACGAATGCACATACCCAATCTCCTAGCCTTGAGACACCTCGAGACACCCTACGTATCTTGCTACCGCCACTGTGGAAAAACAAGTTGAACGAACAGGATGCACTGCACAAGACAACATCGGTTCTCGCCTAGATTAATCTTCTAGTTCTCCTGGTCGTTCTGGACGGACCCTTCATCGCTGCTCTCCTCTCCGTCGCTGCTCTCCTCTCCGGCGCTGCTCTCCTCGTCGACGCCGCCACCGCCAGCGCCACCGCCAGCGTCGTCGCCACCCAGAACGCCGTTGGTGTAGTTGTAAGGAAAAACAAATTCCTCGGCGACTTGCAGCGAGCATTCGTTAGCTGCCGGCAGTTCGCCCCGAGCTTCCTGGACGAAGTCGAGCATAATGACCTTGAACTTGTGATGCATATGGGTTGGGCGAGGCAACCGAAGAAGCGTCAGCGGTAAGAATGTTGAGCCGAAAAATCTAGTTGCGGAAGGACAAGTCCGCGGTTGCTGCACCGCTGCACCCTTCTTGGATGTAGGCTCAGGACATACACGACTCAAAAACTACCTCGTGATGACCCTCCGCTACAGTACCACGAGTGTAAACACGCACTTGCTCAACAACAGACTACGACAATTGTACAGAGGCAACAAGGTTCGAGGGAGTCTTACCGCGCGAGGAAGGCCTTGTGGTGCTTGTCGCCGCCGCCCGGGGGAAGCTTTCCCTTCGTCTTGATCAGCTCCCGGATGTGTTGAAGCCCGGTGGGTCTTCGGTGCCATCATCCTCGTCGGACTCGGAGTCATCCCCTCCCTGGGATTGCCGGTAGACGCTAACCGCTGACGCGAGCTGCGCGCCAATCTCGTCTAGAAACTCCATGGCGAGGGGGAGAATGACCTGCGACCAGTTTCATCCACGGGGGAGAAGGGTGGGATGGATGACCCAAACGATAACCTCGCCAAACGACCGAACAACCGGGCACAAAGTACAGCAAAGCACTGGAGACCTAATAACGACACCACCTCCGTTTTGCTACAATACAATATGCCTCAAGACAACATCGGCAAGGAACAGCTTTGACTACGGGCGAAGGCTATGTTCCACGAATAGTTTGGCTCCAAGTCCGAAGGCGATAGTGAGCAGTGCGGCGATCTCCCCAAAGTGACTTGGATCTGCTTCTATCAAGTCACGCGGAGGCCGAGACAACCCGGACTACACATGTCTCGACGAGGCGGAGCAACCGTGTCAAAAAACACACGAGCAATACGAGTCGCAGCAAGCAAATGCCAGCGAACTAAGGTAGAGAAGGCGAACATTGGAACTCAAACCGGGCCAGGAGCCTGCATATTCGGAGGGACAAAACAGAACATCGTCACGCCAAACTTCGGCTCGGAAACGCTCTCAGCACATGCCCAACTCGCCATGTCATAAAAAAGATACTCCGAGCAGCCGAAGACGTCGTGCCACGGTACTTGCGTCCCCAGAGAAGGGGTCCCGGAGCCGCCGAGAGCGGTGGCGTAGTGCTTGGCCGGTGAAAGCACCGGAGCCAGGGCCATATTGGCTAGCGCGGTCTTCATATCATCAGGCTGTAGACGACACAGGACGGCGGTATGCAGGGGAAGAGGACGCTAGACGCTGTTGACATCGACTCTTGCGGGATGGAGAGAACACCCCACGTTGCCTCGAGTGCCAGAAAAGAAAGCGACACGATCGATACGCCGCTATCCTCTGTGCAAACCGGTCCAAAGAGCTGAAATCTAAGTGCCTCCAACATGGCTCGGACAAACAGTTAGGCACCACCGCGACCCATGTAAACAGATCCCCTCGCCCTAGAGACTAGAGACGCAAACAGACAAGTTAGGGTAGACTAGACTGACGTTTGCCGGCCACACCGCTGTATCCGAGTCAGGCTCGCTCACAAGCATCAAACCGAAACACGGTCCTATATGTGTGCCATCACGAAGGCCCCGGGCAACGCTTAATTTTGTTACATATGGGGGGGGGGGGCTCTGGGTTGGGGTTTGTCCCTAGTCACCATCGTTTTGTTGCGATGTCGTCAAGCAATGGAGTACCGTCTAGGCTGTACGTACCAATTTGCGGAGAGACCTTCGAGAAGCCTTCGCCAGGTTACGTGCCGTTAGCTTTGAGAGCGTATCGCCCTCCTTGACGTCGGCCTCGACGCACCGGACCGCCTGGAGGGTGAGCTTGCACACCGTGATCCGGACATGCTTGTGGCACACCGACCACGTGGCGGCCAGGTTTTTGCCAAGCTTGCCTGTGGTAAAAAAAAGAGAAGCAAGAGAATCCGCGTTAGGGTTACGCTTACTGTCGAGTATATCTGCTCGTATGCTCGTGTGGGCTATACATGCTTTGCTCGTGCGGGCTACAAGCCGGATCATTCCATTCCACAACTGGGGCTATCAAGGCATCCCAAGCTTCTCAGCTTCACGTCTTTCAATCATATACCTACGCATACGCAATGTGCACAACAAATGGCCTCACCGACAAACATGCCTGCACTTGACACGCCTCCGCGGGCCCGATACACCCTGTAGGCCATCTTGAAGATGGGATATTCCTCGAGAGAAGCCGAGGTGCACCAGCTCGGGTTGGCAGCATGCCGCAGCAGTTTGACCCCCCGTTGC